GTTTGTTTGTTTGTTTTGTGTGTTTTGTGTGTGTGTTTTTGTTTTGTTTTTAATTTGGACTCCACACAAATAAAACCATATACAAATGCATAGAATGATAGTGGTGTCAAAATAAGCTCAGTCAGCTTTGTCTTGAAGGAATCATGCTCTTTCCTACTCATACTCTTGGAAGCAATTTAAAATGAGAATCATGGGTATGGTTGCTCCAACTACTGTGATTTTTTTGTTTGTTTTTTTCCTAGTTTTCTCTTTTCCTGGGCATGTTTTGTTCAGAGTTGTTGCTGTTTTGGGGAGTTTGGCTGTTGAATATCAGTAGAGTATTTAATTCCTTATTCCTGTATATCTGAAGAATCCACTCAGGAGGTCAAATTAGTTTATTAAAGAAGATTTCCTCTTCACTGATCTGAAGTATGCTCATTGCAACAGCAGGCAGATAGAGTCTGAAACAGATCTTAGTGATGAATCTCAGGTTGTTTCAGACTGTGGTATTCCAGGAAAATGCTAACGCTGCATACAGGCACTGGGAAACCTGGTGGCCCTCTGGAGAAATTCAGATTGATTTTTACCAGACTCCTAACAGATGCTGTTCAAATATGTTAGACCAAAACTGGAGTGTCTAAAGTTAGACTAAGTACAGATTTAGGAGTCTTACTAAATGAAGAAATCGTGACGTATGTTACTGTCTATCTTCAGCTCCCGTTTAAGTTAGTGGGATTTGCCTTTAATCAACAGCCTAAAAGGTCAGTCATCTTTTAAATAGAAACACAGTCTCAGTTTCAAAGACCAGGAACCTGTAGTTTAGGCTTGTAAGAGTCTTGCAGTGTGTGAGTATTATCTAAAATTGGTTGAGGAAGAGAGAGAGCATGGTAAAGCCAATTGATCTGCTTGAGTTGAGACTGGCTTTCTAACCAGACATGTAGAGAGCAGAGAGAGGGAGAAATCATATTTTGCTACTTGGGTTTCTCCCGGATTAATTAAGGAAAAAAGTTAACTTGTTGCTTTTCATATCCCTACATGATGTTATTAGAGTACATAGTCTGGTCATGCCCCAAGAAAGCAAATTTCAAATATAATATAAATGAAATGCAAGAAAAAAACCCACATACTTTTGAGAAAATCCCTTGTCCTCATCTTGTCAAGAGAACTCTGTTGGCACATCTGTGTAACATCTTTCAAATTCTGTTGACTTCTGAGGTCAGTTTTTATTTTGTCAATAGGTTGCAACATTTGAGAAGTAACTTTTAGGCTGCTGCTCCTGAATATATGCAGCAGTTACAACTGCAGAATATACCCAGCAGAATACAACAGCAGTTGTATTTTGGCACGTATACATATTGTATATAAACATGCCATCTTGAAAGGCTTTAGTTGGACTTGGCAGCTTATCAGGCCTTTATGCATTTTACTTAGATGAAGTCTCAGGAGTATTCTCGCCTGTGTGAGACTATTATATGATGTGCATATATACTGATAGGCAATATTATTAAAATTAACTTTTTGTTCTATTTTTGATAGCCATTAAACTACGTGTAGACCAACAAGTTGTGCCAATTCGAATCTAATATTCAGCTTTTCAAATATTTCACTTTACTTTATGAAATACTGTAACTTTGTTATTCCTGCTAAACTGGGAGCCAGTTGAGCTGTCAGTGACCCACCCTCACGGGCCCAGCAGCAAACTGCACACTGGGCCCAGCTACTTGATACTTGTGGGGCTGCACTGGAGTGGTGTTTAGCACGGAGAAGAGAAGGTTCAGGAGGAATCTGCAGGCTCTTTCAACCTAAAGAGAAGGCCACCCTCTTTCCAGACACTCACAGCAAAAGGGGAAGAGGCAACGTCACAGCATCAAGAGAATTTCATCAGAGAAAATTCATCATGAGAGTGATTTGTGAGCTCTGTAACTGGTGGCCCAGGGGCTGTGAGCTCTCCCTCCTCTGAGACTTTCAAAACTTGCTTTGGCAAGGCCCTGAGCAACCTGATTAAACTTAAAAATTATTTCTGTGCTGAACAAGTGTTTGGACTAGATGACTTCCAGGGATACCTTCTAACATTTTTTTCTTTCTTTTTTTTCCTCCTGTGATTCTGTATCAAGTTGAAAGCAAGTTTTAAGTTTCATGTAGAACATTACTCACTTCTTAATGGGAATATGTAAACTGATGGGATTGCAGTCTAGATTTCATAAACCCTACTGAAATGCCTTTAAATCCTTGATTTAATGATCTTTTTGAATGTTCATCTTAATCTCTTCCATGCTGTAGATGCTGCACAAACTTAATTTTAATTTATTTTTTTTTTAGTTTGTTTTTGAAAAACACTGTCAGAAATAAACCTCATAGTTGACCCAGAAGGCCTTGACTGACTTGAAGATTTGTGTAGATGTTGATGTCTGTCTGCTAAGGTGGCTGTGCTGCTGCAGGTATCTCTTGTACACAGGCCAACGCTGCAACATCATCTTTCTTTTAGCTAGAAATACTTACCATAGGTCAGCTTTGCTGTTGTAGGACTCTTTTTGAATTTAACTCCATGGTGTAATTCTGTCTTGACTTGGTGCTGTTAGCTATGTGAGGTCTATTGATGTGGGCCACCAGATGAAACCGATATTTCTCCAAAGTAATTAATTTTTGTGAAATGAGATTTTATTGGAACTATTCTGTTTCTGCTGCATGTACTGCTGCTTCATCTGTATAGAGAAGAGGTGGGGTTTTTTTAAAGAGGAAAATATATTTAAAGTCTACCAATGCATTACTAGTTCTGTTATGTTTTGCTATGGGATCTTGTGCTATGACACCAAATAACAGTATGATACGTGAGAGCTTTTTGCAGAAGTTACTGGTATAGAACTCAAAGCCAGCAGCAGCTCCCAGCTTTCCATACTCACTGTTTATTCTCTTAAGATAAATCATTTGACTTGGAGTTTGCATTACTGACAGATCAAGCTGCCAGTGTAAACATTGTAGGATTGGGTATTTTGAAAGATGTGTGTAATTTTGTGAAGGAACTAAACCCACAAGTATCCGGAACCAGTGTAATGTTGCGTGTGTTCAAATAACATTTTGCAACGTTCATGAGAAAAGGAAGTAAGTATTTAGAAAACTATTGGTGAAATGGTAACAGTTTATGTTTCTTAATTTTTGTTTACTGAAAATTATTCTTGACACATGGAGCTTTTACTTGCATTTCCATGAAAAGTTGATCCTGGAAGTAGAAGAGACACACTTGTGTTACTGTACAGCCAAAAAATGCCATTATTTATAGTTGGGTAACCTTTCAGTTTACTTTTGACAGTAGCATTGGCGCTAGAGTGAAAATGTTTTGGTTTTTAGTCTCAGAGTTTGGGGTCTATTTGTGAAATACCCAACATCTTCACTTTTTAAAGGAAATAGTAAGTAGTTTTCAACTTCTGAACATATGTCCATTTATTAAAGATGGAACCCATAAAATTTAGAATTTTAAACTGATCTTCACCACCCTTCATTAAAATGCTTTTGCTTTCTTAGTCCTCACTGTCAAATTATCATTTTCTTTGTTAACATTGTGGGGTCGATGATACATTTTGAGCAGAGGTTCATCCTGGGAGGATGCTAAACTTTCATAAAAAGCAAAGGACCAGCTGCTCTTTCACTCAGCAAAACCAGTTTGGTTTAGGTGACCCTACACATAGAATCCAGAGAAACAAATTCCTAGTAAAATGTAGTACTTGTACCTGTACTACTGAATGATGGTTATTCTTTCTCTTGATTTGAATTTTTTTTCTCCACATGTAGACCTTGCAGACACTTGTTGGTCAGTTCAGTTCTCCTGTAACTTTAATTAGCAATATGTTATGCACAGAAAATTTTAGGAGAGCAAAGAAATAAAAACAGAACCAAAACATATCTTTCTTTTATGTAAATATACTTGAAAATATAGTTGAAAAATTTATGCAACTTTGTATAGATCTTGCTGTAGAGAAAAGTAGAAGATTCTCCACTACTTAAGCATTAGGTTTGGAAGATATTTGTTTCTTCTTTTCTGTAAAGATCTAAACATGTACTTGGCTAACACTGCCCAATAGCCAATATCTGTAGTGTGAAACACGTTACTTAACTGATTCAGGTTTTTGAAGGTGCTCTGTACTAAATTATGTACTGAAGGAATTGTTCTGATACTTGGATACAGATCAAAATTTACATGTTACAAAGTTGTGGGAAACAAAATTTAAAGAAAGATATATACTGATTATGTGTTTGTATTATAGGTCTTGGCAATAATGTTTAACTTGACTACATAAAATAAAGACTTAATGGAAAATTTAATAATAATGATTTTTTTTTTTTTTTATAAAAACTTGGTCACTATGTAATCAGGTTTTGCATAAAATTGTGGGAAATCAAATTGATCTTATACAGGTGTTAAAAAAGTTCTTTCAAAGAATCACTTTTGCATGTTTATGAATGACTTAAACAGGGCAAACTGGGGTATTTTCTGACTGCAGCTTTTTGTGCTATTTGGTATGAAAGGACAGGGCTAGAGGGGTAGGATGGTGAACACTGAGCTGGGTGAGTTATCAGATATAGATGGTAAAAAGCAGATTTGAGCTTTCTCTTAATTATTGCATTAGATGTATTTAGCTGTCATTCCGATGGAATGAAAAATTTATCTGGAGCACAGTAATTCAGCAACGCAGCTGACAACATTTGTGAAAGATTTCTGTCTTTTTTTAAAGTGGTTATGAATTAGACTCTGTAGAGCAGGTGCTTTGAAGCTGTAACTTACAATTTCTTTTATCCATTGATCCATTTAATTTATTAAAACATTAGTTGTTGATTCATAAGGTTTAAAATAATGTATCGAGAGCTGTTTTCTTCATTTCCTCCTGAAACATTTAAACAGACTATTGTGTTCGTATTCCTGAGAAATCTGGTTTAGAAAGTGTTTTGTTTCATGTTTGTTGTGAATTTAGATTTCTGATTTTGTCTGAGGCTACTCCATGGTTAAAACAGCTGCTCTTCCTCCACAGGCCTACGAAGAGTACACCAGCAAGCTTGATGCTCTACAGCAGAGAGAGCAGCAGTTACTGGAGTCCATGGGGAATGGAACTGATTTCTCTGTCTCCAGTTCAGCTTCAACAGACACAGTTGCATCATCTTCCTCCTCTAGCCTCTCTGTAGCACCTTCATCCCTTTCAGTTTATCAAAACCCTGCCGATATGTCACGGAATAACCCCAAGTCTCCACAGAAGCCTATTGTTAGAGTCTTCCTGCCCAACAAGCAAAGGACTGTGGTGAGTCACTTTCTATTCACATACTTGTAAGCTCAGTGTTTCCTGTATCTCTCTCCCTCTGTATGCAAAAGTTAAGAGCTGAAAAAATACCTGTGTGGAGGTCAGAGAGGTGTCACAGTCGCTGTGCTCTGCAGTGCTCCGTTGTTTTGATCTGTTGAGTGTTTTCTCCAGGATTAACACAAAAAAGTCCATTATAGCAGTAATGCAGAACAGAAAACTTTTGGGAGTTTTACAGCAATGAAGATAACTCCAGAAATATTTTTCTCAAGTCAGCTTTCTTGGAGTGTTGCACATGTCTTAGTCTTCCTTCATAACCTCTGGCTTTAAAAGCAGACCTGTTCTGTCTCACTTGTGCCCATTGACTGAGCCATTTGCTATGATGGTAGTTTAGGGTGTTCAGATACACAAAGTAGCTTGTGAGAGGTTGAAGCAGGAAGGAGATTCTTTGTGAAAATGTATGGTGCCTGCCATTAGAGCCTTCCCCAAGTCTCCGTTCCATGTGGCTGTGAAATAAGGATAACAGGTTTGACAATCAAAACTGTACCCAGGAAAGGAGATACTGTTGAAGTTGCAGAGTTGCAGCAATCTTCTCCTCACCCTGACTTTACCTGCTTTCAATTAATATCCACTTCTGAAAGAAAACCTTGTTAATATCCCAATAATATTTTCAGGTTTTACTTCCAACCACATCTTCACTTCAGCAGGAGAGAAATGTTGTCAGATCCTAAGGACTCTATGTTTATTTTTGTCTGGAAATGCCATGACAGTTCTTAAACTGACTTAAAGTCACTGGAATTGAGTTGGTAATGGAGAGCCAACCTCGTTATTTATCTTTGATCATACTCTGAAGCAGTCCAGAGTACTACGACAGCCTTCTGCTATTTGTTTAGAGCTGTTAGAAATGCAGGAAATGGGGGGGAGTTGCTTACATATCTTACATTTTTGACTAGCAACTGCCTTGTTACTTGAGAGTTGTCTACATGTTTTGTTTATTATTAGTATTGTTTGCATGTAGGATCAAGCAAATACATCTGTTGGAGTTGACTCCAATTAGAAACACAGTTTGGGGAAGCTGATGGAGTAAAGAGAAATGAGACCATGTCGTTCAGTGTAAGTGATTTTGGTGAAGAGGCAGTGTAGCTGATGGGAAGTTTCTTCATGTGTGTCATAAGGCAGAGCACTGGACAAACCTCTTCCTAATGTAGGAAAGCCTGGCCAGCATGTGCTAGAGCCTACAGATGATGATCAGTTAGCAGTTTGAAGTCAGCATTTTGATTCAGCTGGCTACAGGGCAGAGTTCAAATGTAACTTTTTTGAAAGCAAAACCAAATAACTGTCCTGGTTAGCTGAGGGGATTCAAGGAATGAGTAGTGTCAGAAGATTTTTTTTTTTCCTTGTAGTTGGCCTGGAAAGGGATGAAGAGAAGTTTTTCTCTGAACAACCTCCTAGAAGAAGCAACAGATTGTTTGCTCTTCTGTGGGGGGAGGAAGTTTTTCCCCCTCTAATGCAGAGAGATGTATATGTGTACTTCATCCTTTCTCACTGGCTTGGGTCAGCTGACAAGTTACATGTCCTTTGGAGAAGGATTCCACACAGATGTGACCAGGAAAAGTTGGTGCAGCTGAGTTTGTTCTGTTTTGTTCTAGGCCAGAGAGAAGGGTGTCGAAATAATAAAAGTGAAAGATGATAAAAGTCTACCTAAGATAAAAAGTTGTTTTGCAGAACAAATTGATGAAGCTTGTCCAAATTGTGGCAGAATTTAGGGAGATATTAGTTCAAAACTTCTTTGGGCTGGGAATATAAGTGGCTGTGGTGTGGAAAGTAACAAATCTGCTAATTGAGAAAGAGCTTTTGGGTGTGGAAGGAAAGTAAGAACTCTGATCTCCAGCTGTCTGCTGGAAGTGTGAGAGGTTGTTAGGTACTGAGACGTGGTGGAAGGGAGGTAGTCTTGAATGGAAGTAGATGACAGTGTGGTGTCATAAACGTGTGTTACGTTATTTACTGATGAGACTTTTGAGAGACTGCATGGAGAATGCAGGAGGCAGAATGCAGTGAAAAAAATTTTTAAAATTAAACAAAGGAGTTCCAGGCAGTGAGCATAAAAAGCTTTCTATGAGCATGAAGATTACAGGAATATGGTATTTGCATCTGGGGTGGGATTTAAGTATTTTATGGGATCACTTCTAGTTGTGTGGGGGCTTTTTATTATTTTTTTTCTCTTTTTCTTTGAGGGTTTGAGGGGAGTGTTTTTTGAGGACTTGGATAAAGTATCTTTGCATGTCTTTGGGATTGCCAATTCTAAACTGACAGGTTTGGGATAAGGAAAAATCTCCACTCCCAGTTGTAAAAACGGTTTCAATTTTTGCTCTCTTATATGAAAGTTGACAAAACAGTTAGTATTATTTAGGGATTTCTCCTGTTAGATTGCTTGATCACTGCAGACATGAAAGCATTAGTAAGAATTTTTAGACAGTTTTCCTGTGGCTCATCAGTTCTGGCTGATCCCTTGCAGGAAAGTGTTTTGAAACCTGGAATGGAATAAACATTTTGTGGACATATCTGAAGTATCTCTTTGTCGCAGTGAAAGAGCACAAGAACAGGGCAGGCATGTATGATATTCTCTCTGTGTTTTCTTCCAAATTTGAAGTATTTGTCACTCAGGAATTTCATGAGTTTAAGTGTTTTCTGTTTGGAAAGCCTCTGTTCAGTCTCCATTAAACGTGTGCTATGGGTACTAGGGATTTGTTTCTTGTAGTAAGGCATTCCATGGGCATGGTTGTATGTGGTGTGAGTAATCATATTCTGTTTTGGCCTTTAAATCTGCCACATGCTACTTTATACTGAAGGAAATAAAAGCTTCTAAGAAAAGCTACTTAAGGTATAGAAACAAGTAGCTAAAACTGGTCATAACTGCACAGAGGAACAATATTAGCAGATTTCTTATGTTGCAGTCAGGTCTGGTAGGAAAGAAGAGAATATAGTAGGGGGGCTTCTGACTCAAGTACTCAGTGAACAAGATCATATAAGTTGCTTATATTAGCAGCCCTGAACGATTCTAATTACCTAAGAAATCCCTTCTGACCGAGTACTTACATTTGGGGAAAAAACAGTCTGAAAGCAAATGAGCAGTCCTGAATAATAGTATGAGTCCTGGAGCATGGGAAGTTATAGAAAAAGTGTTTAGGTGTAAGAAGTAATGGGCAGTTGAAAGGCATCAGGTGGGGATGGTTCTTGCTTCTCATTTCTGTGTAGTCAGTTGGTGTCTGCTGCACATGACCAGCTTCCAGAGGAGAGGTTTGCTTTGTGCCTTCTGGTGGAGTTTATGTGAGGGTGGTAAGGAGTCTCCACTGCTCTGCCTGGTGAGTTTGTAAGGGATCCTCTCACAGCCCCACTGCCTGTTCTCTTTCTGTCAGTGTGAGCAAGGAGTGGATTTTGTCATTTTGAATTCTATTTCTGTCCACAGTGGTCTGAGTAGTGACAGTGAATTAAGGGGGAACAACAAAGAAAAAAGAATAGCAGATGCTGTTCATGCTTTGGGAAAGCCCGATGGCTTCCAAATACTTCAGATTCTTGAGGTCTAAAAACTTCCTATGACAGCTTCTAAACCCAAAGTAATACTTTGGGTAAAAAAGAAGTTTCCCTTTTTTCTGTGTTCAGCTATAGAAGATTGTGTGGGTTTTGGTTGTTCTTTGTTTTGCTTTTTTTTTTTTTTTTGAAGTTTAAGAGTAATTAGAGGTGATTCATGTAAAAACTCTGCATAAATTTGGGCCAGTAAAGCTTTTCCACTTTGTTATGTGTTGGAATGCTTCACATGTGTTTCATAGTTACATATGTATTGCAAAGTTAATGAAAGTTCTCAAAATGCAAATATGAGACTGAGTTTTTAAAAGGGAGAATTTGTACTCTGAAGAGTTAGAGAAACTAAACAGGATTGTGAATGCTGTGCATGGGGACGGTCCTTATTTCAAGTCTCACTCTTGTCACACCTTGGTTTATTACTACATCTGCCTTTTAATTAGGCAAGCAATCATGTGATCTTCTCTGCAGTCATGAAGACTGGAAGAATCAGCTATTTTTATCCTATGTAAATTCTTAGCATAAATTAATTCATCATGCATGCACAACCGAGATCCTTCAAATGTTCTGCTTTTAAATCTGGTACTCAGTGCATTTCTTTTGACTTAAGATTTGCATCTTGCTTTCTGCAGTTTATGCATGTGAGTTTGTGCCTCAAACTTGCTGAGTAGTAAGCACTGGATTCAAGTAAGCACAGCATTCAAGCTGTCCTACCAGTTTCACCTGTCAAGTATAAGGAAAATTTAGAGAAGGGGTGTTCAGGCAGCTGAATGAACTAGTTTCTTGCATTTAATTACAACGTGGTTTGACATGATTTGGTTTTTCTAATCAAAAAATACAAAACTTCCCGTGTTATATCAAACATTCAGCAGAAATTGAGTTTATTTTTAGCCTCTGCCAGTGCGTGGTTGCTGAATGTATCTGAATGCTTTGGAATTTTATGCATCATATTTGGTGCTGGTAGTATAAAGTAAATGGTAGTTTACTTTCAAGTAAATTTTACTTTCAAGTAAACTTCACTTGATACTTTTTTTAAATACTTGGATCATCTGGGAGAGCTATTGGCCTACCTATGGAATTGCTGAAAGGCAAAATCAAATTAGAGGCTTAGTTACCAGTTTTCATTGGGAAGAAATTTAACTTAATGGAAGACCCTCTGTTAGCCTGTCAATAAGCAAGAAAATCATACTGCATCACAGAAGTTGTACAATGAAATGGACTCTGCAGCTGTGATGAGCAAGTCCTTCATGTCTAGGGAAGCCTGGAGAGTGTGTCTTTGGGAGGTGTTTAGTGAAGCAAGGTGGGCAGCAGTGCTGCAGCAAACTGTGCTGGGGGCTGGCTTGGGTGGACTTAACTTTCTTCACCACAGCTCTTGTGGTGGTGTGTTTTAGAGCAGGCACCAAGACAGTCCTGACAGCACAGCA